GTCTTACTAAAAGACGATAATTTACCTCCAATGAAATGGAAATTGGCAAGGGTAATAAAAGTATATCCGGGTTCGGACGGTAAGGTACGAAATGTTGAAGTAAGGACATCTACTGGTATATATACCAGACCCATTACTAAATTATGTATTCTACCTTTGGAAAATGAGATGCTGGCTTTCGAAAAGGAAAGTCTGGAAAATATAACCAAAATAGTAGACCTAAAAGAAAAATGTAACATTACCTGGGTAAAGTTTATGCCCTTATGTTCCAAGGGGAACAAAAAATTTCTCCCGAAATTGGGTCTTGGGAATTTCCCAAGCCGGGGGAAAAATGTTACGGTTCTGTAACCATACAAGTTTGAAAATAAAATATAATATTAAATTTTAAAACTAAACCACACCGCTGTTAAAAATGTAGATTTATTTCTGTTGTCTTATCAAGGTTTGGCCAACATATGTTTAGTTTTTGTAGTGAGTGCGGAAATTTGGGATTAGTTCATCCAAGGTTAATAGGGGAGGATGCATGGGCAATATGCACATGTGCCCAGAAAAACATTAGACAAGAGGATTCTATATACAACTTTCGGAGTGATATGTTGTCATGGTTGTCGGGTCGAAACGGTGCAAAAATGTAATGCCGCGTTTACGGTAGTTGGAAGTGCATTTGATAAGCGTTATTATCAGTGTTATTGTGACGAACTTAGTATGCAGTTTATGTGTATGAAGCTAAAGTACCGGCTTCTTTAAGGAAAATAAAATGGTTGATGGTTTGTTACAACTCTGGGAAAAACAAGGTAAAATTTACTAAATACAAAATTCAGCATAGAGCATAGCTGAAATAGGAAAATGAATGATTCGACACCTAATAGGAGTCCGAAGAAAACCCAAAGTAGACTATTGTGCTTTCCTTCTATTTAAAAACCTAGGTTTCGGTAACGCACTAAGGCCTTTAAGTTAATAAAATACTTACGATAGGACTGAACAAGTTTCTCATTGATCCGCAGTCTGCAGTAGTTTGCATTTAAAGTTTACATTTAGTTTAAAGTTTGCATTTAAAAATAGTACCTATCCAGTAAATAAATTAGTATTAGCATTAAAATTTAACTATAATTATAACTAAAGCCTTTAGGGTTTAAGGATACGATAGAATTTTCCAGTCTTTATCGTATAAATAGGTTGGTACCAATCCTTAGGGATATAAATAAATGTTTATTTCTTTATAAATAAATGTATATTATTCCTTAGGGATATATAAATGCTTGTATTTCTTTATGTAGGTAAACGTAAACGTTATGTCATTTAATCTATGCAAAATTTGGTATATGATTTTATATTAAACCAGCTTACATAAATTTACTGTATTTTATTTCTAGACATAGTCTGTTGTTGGATTAACAGGTTGTCCTATTAGGATATAAAGATTTACAGACAACAATACAGGGTTTCTCAGGGTACCTAGTGGTTCGTTAACAATATAAGTTGGTCGTAATTACTGAAACTCTGGGTGGTCCATTAAATCGAAGGGTCTTCAAGCGAAGAAGTAAAAATCGCAAGGAACTGTGGGACAGTGAAGTTTTTTCTTTGGGTTTAGAATTATACTAATCACCGGGGTTGGCTTGGATCACTGTTCTCCCACAGACATCTCCTTGTCTATCTGTTTCAATTTGTACCGTTTATCGGCCTCTAATAAATGAGCGTTATACTGCTGTTTCTCGCTCAGCTTCAGAGTTTGACTGTCTTAGATTGATTAGAAATTCATCACATTTATCACAAGTATCTTTTGAAGGAACAGCGAACGATAAATTAAATTCTGTAGTAAAAATGTGATTGTAAAGCCATTCTTTGCCTACTTCGTCCGAAGGAATGTTTTTCAAATCACACTCTTCCTTAAACATTCTAAACATTGTAGAAATATTTAAGTGACCTCCTAAATATTTTTTCGCCGTCCTTCTTCGACTATAATGTGATTTTCACATGGGTAGGACATTATATGCTCACGAATCCTGTCCTTTACCTCATTCTTTACTTTATTTATAGATGGCTGCTTTCCTCTTTTGTCACATTCTACACCTCCACTTGTTTGCATTTTTTCAAGTGCACATCTAACAAAAGATTGAGAAATATCTAGAGTACGCAAAAAGAACTTATTGCAAACTTGAAACCTCTTTCCTTCAATGGTAAACAAATATTCCCAGTTACAATGGCGTTTTCCAGCTCGAGCACCTGTTCGTTCTTTTTTTCTTTTGGTACACATTTTTTCAAGACAAGAACATAAAAACTGTCTTTTTTTATCTATGGTTGTCTCATGATTCCAAAATTGTCGGTGAATTTGTGCTCTCTGAGTACCTAAGATGTTTTCATTGCATTTTAAACGGCAGTTTCTACAAGGCTCTCGAACCTTCCTTACCTTTATAGTCTTTTTAGTTTTGGAAGATTTATATTGTTGGCCTGCCATTCTCTTCTTTTTTCGTTCGTTTCGTTGCCACGTACTTTCGTTCCTTAAACGTTTCTTACCTTTGCTTTGATGATCGGCTACCATGACCTCTTTTTCATTTTCATCTTCACCCTCATTTGTGATTTCAAAATCATTGTCAGTACTCGAATTATTGCTAGGAACAAATGAACTTCCCGAATATTCAAATGGATCTTCCTCGTCTTGGTGTATGGTACTTGTAGATGAATTGAGCTCCAGTGGTAGTTGCTTAATTTCGTTAATAAGCAAGCTGCTACTTGAAGAAGGTTTGTCTTTAGGTACATCTGAAACAACAGCAGCTGCATTTAGCTGCATTTCAGTTGTATCCTCCTGCAGGTTAACAAAGTTGTAAGATATATCTAACAAAGACGGTGATGTGATCCGTACAGCCATAGCCTCATCCGAATTCTGACTCTCAAGGTAGTCTAAAACAATAAAAAAAAGATGTACAGGCAAAAAAGAGAAATACATTGACAAGAGCTTTGAGATTTATTTCTTTTACTTTTCTAAAACAATAATATCAGCTATTATAAGTGACTCCGTATCTTATATAACAAGAACAAAATAATTCATCCTTTTTCTATCTTAAATTCATTAGGTATAACTTTTCTATTAAATGGCGTACGAATGTTAAAGATCGCACCGTAAATTCAAAACATTTGTCTTTATAATGTAGTTAAACTTATTATTTATCATTAGAAATACTTACGTTTACTAGAAATATTTTCCACTGATGAGGATTCATTATTCACGTTTTGTTTACCGCTCAGCGCAAGCTGAAGAATTCTGTGGGCTCTCTCTTCCATTTTTGGCTATCTCGTTTAATTTAACATGCACGACTTAAACAAAAAATATAACACCGGGTTTAAAAGCGAAGAGAACATGCGCTTCAATACACTGCAAATAGCGAACTGAACAAACGCAAGTATTGTACTATGTAATTCACACCTCAACAAGCACAGACTTGTCAAATTTTAAAAGATTGTGGACTTAATGTTTTGCCTGAATTACATTATGTGGGACATAATACTTTTTGTTGGACATAATATGGTTTTGCCCTGGGAAATGTATACACCACTTTGGATCTAATACATTTGAAATGCAGAAGATACTGTTTTGCTCTAAGCGCAATGTGGATTTAATACTGTTCATAAAAGGTTATTTTGGCCAATTTCAGTCGAAACAGCGAATAAGAAGCACCATTGAATAGAGCGGAAAATTTTAATCCCAGTGAGCCAAAAAAGTAGAAAACTGAAATTTTGGACCTAATACAGTTTTGCTCTGAGGTACGGAATTGTTGTTTACTCTTAAGTTTATAAAAAATTTGTCTTTTGAATTTACTGTACTAATCTTAAAAATTTCTTGAACTGAGCAAACTCAAGTTACTTAGTTAGACCTAACATTTTGTTATTTTAAACAAACTTTTTGAATATGTCCAACTTTTTTACAAAAATTACAAGTTAAATGTTTTTTTTTTTTGAACAAGAATTTGCAAAATGTGAAGGATCTCCATATGTATAACATACATTACTATTTGTGTTTGAAGAATTTGCGCCAGAGTTATTCTGAAGTTGCATCATATTATTATTTGCACTCCTTGCTTTTGCATTTAATATATTGACACCAGAATTATTATAATTTTGATCATGAAAAAATTGGTTACTGTTCTTTTCTGATGCCTCCCTGCTTGTGACAATCTCAACGGCTCTATCTAGGTCCACTCCTTTTGATTCTAGAGGTTTATTGCATATTAAATTGCAGTTAATTGACAACTTTTGTAGTGAATGAAGGTATTATTGTATTGTTTCTCCTTCGGCTTGCCTTTTTGATTACAATCTGAAGATTTCTGCAATTTCGAGGGGTGCAGGGTTATAAAATTTATCCATTAAATTGACAATGTCGTCATAAGACTTGTCTTCAGGTACGTCTGGGTCTAACTTGTAGCATAGGGTGTCGTAGGCCTCAGAATCCATGTAGTGTAGTAAATAAGGTAATCTCATTTCATCTGGAATTTTAAATACCTTGTAAGCACCTTCCAGCCTCTTTACCCACCTGGACCATTTGGTGGCAGACTGGTTGAAAGATTCAACGGAAAATTGAAATGTAGATACTTGTGTAGACATAATTGGGGCTGTAGTACCTGTAACTGTACTTGAAGTTGAAGTAGCAATCGTAGTAGTCGTAATAGTCTCTGCAGTAGTTATTATTACCATCTTATGTATCGCTTTCGCGTCGAAAATTGTTGTGTATTTAGTATTTCTTACTTAAATAAGGTAATAATTATTAATACAACGTGGTTTTACATCCTTAACCTTTATTTCTCATCAACTAACTAACTTCATTCCCTTGTGTCAGTGTGTGGTGTTGCCTACCTGTGTTACCAAATATATAACAATATCTATGCTGCAACTTTTATCTAAATTATTTTTTTCGTATATTCTACCACAAATGAATAAATTGAATTCTTCGTACTATTGCAACTGGTTTGTTTTATTGGAAAATTTAAAAAGTAATTTTATTTTTTCAGGATATGCCAACGAAGACAGACACAAAGGATTTGACTTAGATGGTGCCAAATTGCTCTTGGCTGACCTGGCTGTCTTCCACGCTGTTCCTTTAGCAATTAAATTGAAAGACCCAGATTTGTTTCAAAAGGTTTTTGTGGATAATTGTCCAGGCCCACCGAAGTTTGCGGACAAACCCAAAGACAAAGGTCCTGGTGGTCCACCATCCATTCCAAGAAGTACACTAAAAGAAATACTAAAGGCAGACATTTTTTGTAGAAAACATGTAAATAGGTTGGACGGTCTAATCGATGCTCAAGAAGAAAATTTTAAAAAAGGAAATTTATTTATTAATCGTGATGCTAACAAGACGGTATTTTCTGGACTCGTACATAAGGATATGTGGTTAAATAATACTATGCAGATGAAGAACAATGAAGGAAAATTAATAAAAAATAAATTTGTAGACTTTCAGATGTACGGTATACAAGATATTACTACAGACCTATTTTTCTTTCTTATTACTAGTGTAGATATAATGACATTAGAAGAACATTTTGATTATCTTCTAATGATATACCATGAACATTTTATTAAATCTTTGGAGTCTTTCAAATGTGATGTAGCACCATTCAAATACATCGATTTTATATATAATCTGAAGAAAAGCGCTGTTGAAGAATTGTTTCATATACTTTTAATGAACAATGTTGTAATATACGCCAAAAAAGGAGAAAAAACTAACATGGAAACGATCAAAAACATGACAGTGGATAAGGTACACCCTATAGCTAAAAAGAAATTTGTATTTCTATTTAAAATGTTTATTCAAAAAGAATGGATCTAATACTCGTATGATAGCTATTTTATTTTTTAACCCATTAAATATTTATATACTGAAATACCATTGTTTTTGTTTTTGTTATACTCCAGTCGTCAGAGGCGAAAATGCCACAGAACCTCTAAAAATTATACGAAAAAGCTGAATTTTGCCGAGAATATTAATTTTGGAACAACAGTTGTTATCAACAGGTCCTCGAAGACACTTTGTCTCAGGACCAAGTAACCTTATGTAGAGTCATACGTCGCCATGTTACCAATTCCAACGGTAACTTGAACATCTTAACTTTTAATAATATATAATGTAACAAAAATTTAAGTTAACAACATTTAACGGGTTTTTACCCATATATTTTAGTAGCTCATAGCATGTATACTTCGTTACACTTATGGTGGAATTTACATTCCGAAAACGTAAAAAATAAAATAAAAAGCCGGCATTTGGACTGCTAAAAAGCATAGTCTGCAATCGGAACAAATCTGCATCCAAAGGCAACAAAATTCTTACAAAGAAAGCATGCCCAATGAAACACATGGCAAAATGTTAATTGGATGAACTTGTGCTAATAGTGTTACTTGAAAGTATTACGTAAACCAAGCAGGAATCAGCCCAAAGTCATAACAGCTTTTCTTCTTGGACATCCGCCAGTCAAGGGACACCTGCTTACAATGGAACTGTTTTATAGAGATTTGACAGATTAAGATACCCAAAAAAAATATAAGGAACACCGGAATTGTAAAGTAAGTTGCAAAATGGAAAAAAACATTATAAAAGCAATTAGCATTTGTTTACATAATAATTTTTATTAGACCAACTAATATTCTATGACATATTGTATAGTTTTATTGTATTATAAATAAAAAAAAAACTTTTTTTATAATTACATACAATTAACAATTCATTTAAAGTGTTTAAAATTACTTTAGTCCTACGCTTTACTGCTTCATCTTCTTCAAACTTGTACAACTTAGTCTAACTAATTTTTTGTAGACATAAAAACTTATTTGCCTTGTTTTTATATTACTTTGATATAGCTGAAGCATTTGAGAGAAGAGCGAAAGCTGAAAATGTCAATTTTAAAACCTAAAATAGCAAAAATATATGACTTCTAAAGGTGTTCTATATATTTTATTTAAATCAATAAATATTGAACATACATAGAATGCTTACCTTAATAAATGAATTTAAATTCAACTCATAAAGGCCATATACAGTGTATGCCGGAAATCTTTGTGAATGGTGTAAAACAAACAATAGGTCTTTCTTAAGACTCTCATCATTAAGGCTGTTCCAGTTGCTTTGAAAAATGCATTCAGGTAATAAGCTTGCCTATAAACATTAAAAGCTATTTAAAAAAAAAAAACTAACATATCCATCCGAAGTATTCAACTTACATATTTTTATAAAGTATATATATATATATATATATATATATATATATATATATATATATGTATAGTGAAACTTGGATAATTCGAATTATCCAAAAATTCGAATTAAAAATATATCCACAGAAAAACAAAGATGCCTACAAAAACATCTGCAAACAATAAAAATCAACAATAGTTGACCATTTTTATCGCTTGCAGATGTTTTCTGCAGAGACATCAAAATATTTTATCGTTTGCAGAATTATCCAAAAATTCGAATTAAAAATATATCCACAAAAAACAAAGATGCCTACAAAAACATATACAAATGATAAAAATCAACAATAGTTGACCATTTTTATCGCTTGCAGATATTTTTCTTACTATTTTTGCCCGAATTTTGTCAACCGAAAAAAATGGGCCAATAAAATTAGGCCAATTACAGCATTTGCAAGCTATAACAAATGGTCAATTATTGTCGATTTTTATCATTTGCAGGTTTTCTCATTGGTATTTTTGGCCAAATCTTAGCCGAAACAATCGGCAGATAAAAAATTCCCAGTAAGAGCGCATCATTAAAAAAATAAAACATTTTGTCTCAAAAAATTTAGTGAAAATAAGAATGCATATTTGTTACAATTAATGAAAATAGACTAATTCTTTCTAAAGAAATCCAAAATTTTTAGCTGCTTTTTAGAATTTAACGTATCGGTAATGACAAACGATTCTAAGATGTTCAGTGAACTAAAAATAGAGTGACTTACATCATTTTTACTTTCAAAGTACCGTTTAAGTTGCGTAATATGGTGTGTTGCTTCGGCCGCATCCGGAACATGTATTTCTCCCGCAACTGATGATGCGTCGTCTTTATCACTCTCTTGTTTTTCATCACTGTCCTTAAGCACTTCAGCGATGATCTCTGTATCGGTTATTTCACCACATACTGCAACATCTTCATCCACGTTGACAAAATCTTCATAAGAGATGGCAGGATCAGAAATTATGTCCCCCCAACAGTCAACTGAAAGCAGCTCTTCTGTTAAATTGTCGTCTGTGTTCTCCTCCTTTTTTATGAAACCAGCTCTTTTGAAACAGTGTTCGATCGTTTCGGGTGTTACTTGGTCCCAAGCTTTCTTACACATTCGAGATGCTTGTAAAATGTCTAACTTTATTTTAAGGGTGTCGCAATCTTCCATCAATATGTTTTCAACCAAAAAACGTCTGTTATGACACCCTGGTCCATAGGCTGGAGAACTGAAGTCATGTTAGCAGGAAAAAAAATAACTTTTACATTTTCCATCACTGGGATAGTGGTGTGTGCCGTACAATTGTCAATAAACAAAATAACTTTTCTTTTTTCTTTTATGAACTTTTTGTCTAATTTTTTCAGCCAGTTCTCGAACAGATCACTAGCCATCCAAGCTCTTGCGCTGCTCACATATTCCACTGGTTTTGACTTGACGTTCTTAAAACAACGCGGATTAGCCGACTTGCCAATCATCAGTAGAGGCAGTCTTTCTGATCCGTCCATGTTTGCACCAATTAGGAGAGTTACTCTTTCTTTACTTAGTTTTCCTCCGTGACATTTTTCATTTTTAAATCCTAGCGTTTTGTCAGAAGTGCATTTAAAAAAGAGACCCGTCTCGTCAACATTAAAGACATCTCTTTCATCTATACCCTGAATCATCTCTTCCAAATTTTTTTCCACTGGTTGGCTTCTTGCTGATTAATGGTCCCACTTATGGATTTGAAAGAAATTTTGTTGCGTTCTTTAAAGCCGTCGAGCAACCCTGTACTCGCCTTAAAATTGTTTTTCCCCATTTCAATAGCAAATTGTTTAGCTTTGCTTCTTATAAGGAGACCACTCACGGGAGTCTTCTTATCCCTAGCTTGTTTGAACCATTTTAACACACAACTGTCTAAATTTGGATTTTCTGGCTCCCTTAACGATTTTCGATCTTTACCGCACTCACTTTCACTGTTGAGAATTTTTTCTTTATTCTTCAAGTAGGTGGATAATGTGTTAGGAGGAATTCCAAAGTCCCTGGCAATCTCAGATTTTTTCTTCGTCCCCTTTTCTACTTCTCTAATTGCCGCTATTTTTTCCGATAACGTTAAAGTTTTGCATGTTTTCGTATTACCATGCGACGACATCTTTACTCAATACGAAGTGACGACGTGATTTGCGGTGATTGCAATTGCAACGCCAACGCATCTCAACTAAAGGGGCGTGCCAGATGGGCTAGAATTGAGGTGACAGGTACGAGTACAATGTACAATGGCCTTGAAACAAGTGACACGTTAGAACAGAAAAGAATACTACCTCTTTTAGCGGAAATTTCCAGCATGAAATTGGCATTTTTAACTTGTAGAAAAGTTCGAATTATCCAAAATAGTGTAAATAAGAATAAAAAATTGTTTGGCAAACAACCTTTTCCGTTTTCAACAAAATTATCAAAAAACCTTTGTTTAGAATTAGAAGACATTTTACCTGTGAGTTAATCTTTTCATTGTTTGTATAATCGAGTATTAAGTGACCATATTCTATTTTTTTGAAATATGTATAAATTGTGTATTGACAAAACCAATTTTAAAGTAAGCTATTTGGTTTTTCTCTGAAACAGTAATTTGGCTTTCCCAAATGATACATAGAATTTTTAAAATAAATATTAAGAGTGGTAAACAAGATTGGAACTTTTGATTGGATAGTCGTTTTTGAGTGGTAATGGGGTTAGCCTGATGAGGAACCGGATAAGTCAGTTATAATTTGGTCATCGAAGGAAACAGTCGTTTGTCTCAAGATAGGGTGTGGTTCGTGAGTTGGATACCAGCATTTTGAAAATCTACTCCCACCTTTTACCTTCACAAATTCGTATAACAATAGTTTATAGATACATATAAGCATACAATTATGTTTTTCTCAACATGTTTTCAATTATTTTTTTATTATTATAAAAAATTCAAGAAGTATTTGTGAATAATTACAAGTTAAGAGCTGAGGAAAATCAATTTCTGTGCTTATTATACCTGATAAAAAAGATAGTTATTTAAATATATACTGTGCTAGTTATAAATGTTATACTGTGAATATTTTCTTTCTTTCTTTCTCTTCTTCCTTTTACCCTATCAGGGTGTCGGATTTGGGCTAGCTATTTTAATTTCCATTTACCCACCTCTTCCATTCTTTCCTGTTTCCTGCCATTATTTTCAATTCCTCGAGTGATTTTTGTTTAAGTTTTCCCGCCTCTACTACTTGCTGTATCCATTTTGGTTGACTTTACCGAAAGTACAAGCTGAATATAGTCGCAAATGTCAAAAATATTTTGGTTTGCCAGTGTTGGCATGTTTTTATAATGCATATGTTGTATGCTTCAAATATAAAGAGATAAAGCTTTTAAAAAGTACATTTTGATTATACTATTTTATGAATTCCGCAATTTTTAATTTATATGAAGCAATAACAGGTAAATATTTGTCTCGTTCGACATTAATTGCAAACATCTGGCAACTGCTGATTTGATGATTGCCAAATCTATCCCCTAATCTATCAAAGTGTAATTGCTAAAAAATTTTTGATAATTAACAGCAATTTATCTACAAATAAACAAATATTTACTTATTCTTGTTTTATATAAATCAAAAATTGCAGAATTCCTGCAATTAGTTATTAGTTATTATACTTTCCAGGTAT